CGCCGAGCCGAGCCGAGCCGTTTTTCCCGCCTGGCTTGGCTCACACGGCCTGACGGCTCGAAAAATCGGAAACCGGGCTCCGAAATGGGCAAAATGGCCTACGACCACGAAACGTAGCCTACGGCCACTGAGAGACGGTCTACGGGACCTCTCTCTCTTCCCTCAGGAAAAGAAACAAGAAAACCGAGTCTGGTTCGCAAACCGAGACAAGGCACAGAAGAGGGTTCGGAAGTCCGGAGGCAGGGCTCACGGCCGCAACTCTGAAACTTCTGAACAAGCACATTATGCAACATCACCAAGCGCTCAATCAGTGACGTCTGAGTCTTAAGGTCGGTCAAAAATGGGGTGTCTACACATGCCAATTGTGCAAAATCAAACTTGGAACTTAAAGAACATAACATAAAGATAACATGCATGAATTGTCTTGGCTTCAAAGATTTCAAGACATGATCAGATGAGGTGTTTAACTCAAAAACATGTTGAATTCTTAGAACAAAGCCAAAATGAGGACATGCAAGAGGAAATTCTTTGAAAACATCTCCAAAACACAATGAAATGAGAATGCATGCATGTCCTAAGCTTTGATCCTATAATATGAGCTCAATGCTTGCCTTATTCTTGAATTCTTTTCAATTCATGTATTAGCTAACTTAATTACATAATCAAAGGCTTGAATTCTCACCCAAACTTCCTAATTGAGCTTCAAGTAATCAAATTCTTGAGTGTCCAAGCTAATTCTCCTCAGTTCCTCTCATGTTTCTTCCTTTTGATCTCAAATCTCTTCTCCTCTCTTTCTTCTCATGTTTATGTCTCAAGATTGAAGGAATAAGAGTGTTTAATGAGTGTAGAGTCATATGTAAGCCTTATATAGGCTAATTAAGGGGCTTAATTAAACTTAGCTTAAGACCAGTTAATTACAAGTATTTTATTCGAATTATTTCGTTCTGAATCAAATTTCAAATCAACCTACCATAAAATTCTAAAAATCCCAAATAATACATAATCTCAGTCAATTTTGTATTATGTGGCCGATAAGGCCTTCAATTCGCGGAAACCAATAGAATTTTGAACAGATATTTCTGTAACAGACAGATAGACTCACAAATATCACAATTCACATGCATTTAACCCAGAATTTTATCTTAATTACATATTAGGCATTCTTTATTATGCT